GAAGTAACGATGAAGTCGTTTAAAAATGGGTCTGTTTGAATAACGCATTCCTCAGTACCTCAGTACCATCGATCACAAAGCAGCAAAAGCAACGACAAATTTATTACTAGGTAGCCGGACGAGGAAGAACAAGGACTTTGTGTGAGTGTCAGTCACGTCATTCCCCAGTGAGGGCGGTGTAATGGCGGCCAGGGCCTCAGAGGGGCGACAACTTCTGCGCCAGCGTCCAGAGCGAGCCGGCGCTGACAGGCTCGCCGCTGCTGCAAATGCCAGGCAGCCAGCAGAGCACGCCGTACACCATGCTAGCCAGCCACAGCTGGGCCGTCTCCCAGAGGCCGGGCTCTGCGCCGCGTGTCAGGCCGAGCGCGGCCAGCAGGGTGACCGGCAGCCGGAGCAGGCCGACCAGCGCCTCGGCCGGCCACCGCTCGGTCAGCGCTAGCCAGAGCGAGCAGCCAAGCAGCGCGCCACCGCCGACCAGCAGCAGCCAGGTGCGCTTGCCCTGTAGCCAGCTCCAGCGGCTGGGGGACGAGCCAGCGTCGGCCGGCTGCTGAGCGCCCACGTTGGCACGCGCCAGCAGCAGGGCTATGTCTGCCTCGTCTCCACACGACTCCATGTCTTTGAGGTCGTACATGTCTCCGTGGCCGTGTTTTGCATCACGGAAGTGAGAGTTCTTGTCAATGCTCTGAAACGGTAGAGAAGTAATACCAGACATTCTTGTTTGAAGATGAACCAGAGGTCATGTTTGAAGATGAGCCAGAGGTAAAAAAGTGGTAAGAAATCTCCTGCTAGTCGTCAGAGAGCAATTACAAGCAAGACAGTCCTTGCACAGCCCGGCCAACACACTGAACGTTACCTGGAGATCTCCATATGGAAGAATTATTGATGAGCAGTTTAGCTCGAGTCATACGTATCTCAAAATGTGCGTGATTGCTCCAGATGAAGAAACTGAGGTAGAGGAAAGGGGATTATATCACAACGTTCTGCCTTCGTGCACTTTCACATGTCTTAAAGGGAGTGCACTACATTTGAAGATATTGAAGGAAGCATCAGACTTGATGAAACAAGCTCATTTATAACTATTGGCATATTTTCGAAGTGGAAAAGACCGCTCTTGACGGCATAATTCTTTAGTTAAGATGCTCCTAAATGCGTCATGGTTTGATTATGTCGTCGTACCACGTACAACATTGATCGAGAGCCAATTGACGGTCGTCATATCTGGAAATCGCGCTCACGGACACCGCATATGAACGCCTCGACAATTATATTTTTTCACCTTGATCGCCGCATCGGTTATGAAATGGCAGAGCATGAGTGACGTTATTATGGCGTCATGGATGCCAAGGTGTCTGAAATACTCGCCCCGATATACCTTTTACCATTTTCGTGGACTTGTAGTTCAGAAATTACAGGGGGTTAGGTCTAAGAAGGAAAGGGTTATGAACAGCACCAAAAGGTCTTCCAGGTGGCTATTCCAGTTCAAAACTCCCTAAAAATGAGGAGCACTCCCTTCTAGCACATCCTTTCTTTTCTTGTCAAAATTTTTAGATGTAAAAGTGTACAAATGTGTGAAATTTATCTTATCACTCTTGCAGAGGTCATACGGCCTTCAATACGTTAGTTTATTCCGGTGATGCTTAGAGCCACCTGTGATGTCGTCAGCTACGTGCTGATGTCTACTCAACATGTCCTCATTGAGGCTGATCACGACCATCCATGGTACCACGAATGTCCAAGGCAGGTCCGTTAAGGACCACGTTTGACCCCCAGGCGGTCACGGCTAGGTGGTAGAAAGACCTCGGGTGTTGCTGGGTTAATTACGTTATGCGCCGTATTTTCTGGTTTGAATAAAGACATTCAGTGATATTACGCACCTTGAAAATATGTGATGGCAACATTTCCCAGCAGTATAGGCACGAGTGTCGATTTGTATTCTTTTGTGAAGACATTCACCGTCCCAATGTTGAGTCGGCCCTCCCCAATGTTGGCTTCATCCCCAATGTTTTTGGCTGAAATACTACAAAGACGTGGGTAAAAGATGATCAAAACACAAACACTATTTTCTTTTATCTTTCTGCGTAGGGGCGTCCCGTACCACTCTCATAACAAAGGTCATGGCCGGTCCCTCCACAAGATAAAATCATAACAGCAAAGGGAATAAACAATGCAATAAACTTCACATGACTAGCGCTATAAGACACGCAATGGCTTGTGAGTTTTAAGTGAAAAGCTCTGGAATATAGGGATGACCTAAGCCCATCGCCAACTCCGTCCCGTCCCCCACAACCAAACTGTGTGCCGCCTCCCATGACCGCCAAAGAAGAGCGCCATCGGCGCCCTAAGGTGGCCTCTAAAGTCGGCCTTCACGTGCCGATCGGAAGAGACGCAGGCGTCCAGTGCCTGCCCCCCTGCATCCAACCCTGCATGACTTCCATACTGCTTAATTTAAAACCTTTATAAGCTGCTGCAAAGATTGAAAACATATATTGTGTTTGATCAAATTAAAGCGGGCTAAATCTGATGAGAAAAATGGGGAGGGGGTAGGTTGTCGGGCCTTCGGCTCGACCCTTCCCCAATAATTTGCAAAAATTTACACCACTGAGTATAGGGAGAGGATCGCCACAAACTACCGCGCATCAAAACGTAGTGGTCCTGGTTTAAGCCGTTACTGACACATCACGCGGTGAGCCAGACAATTGGCAAGCTTATGAATTGCCCTCGAAAAGCGCATAGCCGTCCTGCACGCAGGGACGCTTGTGTGGAAGTACGAGTGCATGCTGTTGTCCCAATCGAATAATTTTTGTCCCGTGTTGCCACGACCCCTGCTGCATGGGTCGTGGCAACTGTGCACTCTGGTAACCGTGTCTGCACGGCGCGCTCGTCAGCAGCGGCCGAGCGCACAGCCACACGCTTGTATAATTATGTCCGCCGCACGGGGGACCTTCGGCAGAAATACGCGACTGTACGGCTAATTGACAGTCAGAGGCAGGCCGGCAAACGGGCGCGGCTTTTCCACCAACGGGAGTCGCTCATTTGAAACGGGCTTTTTAAGGCTATTGTAGGCCAACTTTGCGTAACACGCAAATGTTTTAACTGAATGTTGTTAACCGTGAGTTTTACACCTGCAACTTGTACGTATACATCTCGCTCGGTCTAGGCGACATCCTGTCGCATTCGAGATCTGTTTCAAAAATACACGAATGGGGTCTCTTGATCGACTACTGACCTCACTATGGGTCGAAAAATTTTGGACTGCATGAGTGGGCTCGTAGAAGGTACACGCGCCTACGTCGTGTGGTTGATTTCATTGACATGAATCCTGAAAAGCGCCCGTGAACCGCGCGCTTCGTAGTTTTTGCATGTGCGCACGTGCTCCGCACAAACGCACTGACGCGCGCTGTTGCCGGCGCGGTTGTCCGTTCGCTGCCGAGTGGACATGTCCTGATCCATTTTCACTACGGTCCCCGGTCGCCAAGGAAGAAGCCCGGTTGTTGCCCACCACTCGTCAATTTCTAGCAATTTACGAATTTCGCTTTCTTCATGTGCAGCCAACGGGGCACGTCTGCGCGAGACACGAGCGGCGCATCACGCTGAGCGGCGTCGCATTTTACCATGGCGCCTTGTGTTAACAGCCTAAGAGGTCATGACCTAAAGCTGCAAAAACGCGCGCATCTTAACATATGTTTTAAAACCGGCTGCAACCGTCGGCGGATTTCTTCGTAAGTCATGAAAATCCGCAATAACTTTGCATACTAGAGGCATGAATAGATGTCCCGTTGCGAATTCGAGCAAGTGACGTCCAAGTCTCAGACGTTGCCGACTAGCGAAAGCTGTACCCGCTGGTCCACCAGCGGGTACAGAAGCTGACGCAAATCTTTGTGAGACCATTTCCATGCAGCTTCATTGTACAGCAGCTCACGGAACTCAATCACAGTGTGCCTTCCTGGCATGCCCCACTGCACGTTCAGTGCAATTAGATATCTCTTAATGTCAGACGCTAAGAACGAGATACGCCTTGCGTGATATCCTTATAAGAGTATGTCGTGGCTGAATTTATGCGGGAGTTATCTTGCTCTGCAAGAGATGAATATATACTACAACGTACAATGCGTTTTGCAGTAAGACCAAACTACCTCGAATAACTGTTCACTTACAATGTGTATCTTTCTATGAAGAGTTACTGCGTACCTATACTGCTTCGTACAATGGTCAGGAATATTCATGTTCCAATTCATGTTTTTCATGTAATTCATGCTAGTCATGCTTTTCCACAACGTCGTTTTGCTTTGGAAAGCCGCGAGCACAGGATTTTTGTAAGGACGGGCTGTTCCTGTGGGGCTTTCTACACGGCGCAATCATTAGAACACCTCATCTCCACCTCACATCCACCACACCACAAATCCTCATAATTCTTTGAGGCTTCGTGGAATTGGATCATGATATGCTGAAGCAGTAAGCAGCGTAAATTAGACGGCTCAGTGGAGATTCATGTCATATACTTTTTCTGATTCCTGGGGTCCCACATTTGCTTTTGCGCTAACTCATTGAGTGCGTTCGGGTTGGGGACATGCACTTTATGCTGAGCTCCTGTAGTCCTTGGCGCACAAAGCTCATGTGCTACTTTAAACAACTAATGCTTTACATAATGTTCTTATTCACAAACCTTTCTTTGGATAGATTTTGCTTCAGGTCGTCCATGATTCTGAAGATTGCCATCATGGAGTTCATGATTTTGCCCATTTTGTCGGCCCAGGCCAGCTGGTCACGGGCGCTCTCTGCGTTGCACGCCACTTGAACACACGCCGTGAGTGTCTTGTGCATGACCTTCGACTTCCAAAAGAGGTCACCAGCCGCCGCCTCCTTGCGCTTAGGATCCTGCATTGTTTGGTACGCCTGCAATGTCAGAAAAGCTCCGCATGAGTTGAGAAGTCCCATGGTAAGTCATTCAAACCTGGCCATTTGAGCACTCGTCCAGTCAGTTCGTCCTACATAGATGACCTTTATTGTGCGCTTCAGCATATTTGTGTGGCAGTGGCAGCCGTATCGCTGATGACGTACTAGTCTTTCAGCAGCCTGGCCCGGGGGAGACGGACCGCATGATTGCATTGCAGCGATGCCCAATAAAAGTGCTGCAGTGGGAGGTTGAAACTAGCGATTTGTGCAGTTTTCATTGGAAGCTTATTGTTTGCTCCTCAGCTTGGTTGTGCGTACCATGCACCATGAAAATACGGCCACAAGCATCAAGCCATTGGATAACATTTTCTGTGTGCATTGCAACAAGAGAATTGCAACAAGAAAAAAGCGCTTCGGAGAGAATGGTATGTCGTTGTTACTCACGGATGCTGGTAACGTAAATGAGAAGTTCAAGCTAACTGCTTTTGTACGTTTTCTCCTTACCTTAACAGAATGTAATCCTGCCAACAGTAATTTAATGAGTCACGTAACTATGATGAAACAAAACTGATGGTTCCTTAATGTTTCCAGGCGCGCAACAGTTTTGCTCATGATTACCAAAGGAAAGTTACTGCACAATCCATTTCACAATCACTTGCATCCATAGTTTGAACGAACATTGCAAACACAAATGTGTGTACTTGAATGTAACTGTAATTAATGACAGTTACATTCGTGTACATATTAATACACCTAGGAGCTATGTGATGCAAACTTTACCTCAAATGCACCTTTAGCTTGCTTCATTAGCTCATCTGCATTTCTCAGAGCATCTTCCAATGCCGCCTGTGATTGTCCGGCTTCTTGTTGAAGCTTCTTTCTGCGCCAGGGAGAAACGCAATTGAGCAGCTCCTTATACATCATTTCCGTCTCAATTCCGTTGGATTCGAGCTCGTCTTTCCGAACAATAAGACTTCCAAGCGCTTCCTTCGTTTTTTCGTGGAGTTCCTCATTTGCCTTATCGTGGTCTGTGGGTTCGCCCATCTCTTCTCGAGGAGATCTGCTGTCTATCACAGATGACCGTGAGTGACTCCTTGAAGATCTTGCATCACTGCGCAGCGATCTGTGCGACCGTGGGTTGTCACCACTGACAGAAATCTGCTCTGGAATTGGACTAAGATATTCGGCTGAGCGACCCCCGCTATTTCGCCGTTGCCTCGTAGTGCTCATCGTTAAAATCGTTTCATTTACACATCCTACAGGCGAATTTGGTGAACTCGTAATATTATTTGTTGTCGGTAAATTGTATGCACTAAACACACTCAATGGCGAACCGTGCAGGCCTTGATTTTTGGTTCATCCTCGCGCAGTTAACAATTCAGAAACTGAAGTCCTCACGTGAGTGTTAAATAAAAGCAATTCACAGAAGAGGAAACTATTATGCTGTTATTTCATTAGGTACCTGCCTGAGCACCTATGGCATGAGACACTCAGCATGATAGTACTGAGTGTCTTGTGTCGCTCAGACTTCATATTTTGGCAGAACAATTTGTGCATAGTGTTGTGCATGAAATGCTGGATGTACTGATGATGTCATGATACATAGCGCAACATAGATAAGGCAGTAGTATCCGCCTTGCTCCTCGGAGAAAACCAGGAGAATGGAATATAGTTGGGATGATATTTCGGCAACGTGCCTTTATCGAAACAATAGCAAGAGTTTCGCTGTTGTTTCGATCAAGGCCTGTTGCCGAAATATCAACCCAACTATATTTCCATTCTCCTGGTTGTCTACGGGGAATAAAGCCAACATTTCTGTATTATCCATGTGAATAATCTTCCTCGTTTTTTTTGATCTCATAATGCCAATTTCATTTTGAATTCTTTCATAGAGCATCCCTACCTAAGTTCACCATGTGCACATTTACAAACCTCACACGAAATGCGATTCATCACGCTGTACGTTAGAACTTTCATATCATATATTAGCGATATGGAGCTCACTTCATATCACTTTCAGACACTGTGTTTGCCAAGCACCCCATGCAAGTGTCTTACACACGTTGCGAACAATTAGTCCTTTTGTACAATGATGCGTGTATCATTTGTCAAAGCGTAGCTGCGTTTTACATCCATATCACAAATATGCCTAACCGCCAAACTGCATCTTTATCACGAAACTGCTACCGAGTGCTAGCTAGCGGGCACTCGACAGCAGTTTCGTGTGAGGTGATGACACTCAATGTTCTTAATGACACACAAAATACGGGACATTTTGCGACGGAATTTTAACCCCGCCGTGTTTTTGGTATGTGTAACTTAAGCAATGTATGCTTAACCAGTCACGCCCAAGCACATACAATGACTTTAGTAACATGGATTTAATGTGATGGACTGATTGCAGAAATGCATTATTTTCCAAGTTTCCCGCAACCAGATTAGAAATCCTTGCACATTGTAAATCCTTTTGAAAGTAATTTCAATAATTGTAAAATTATCTGCTCATAATTGTGTGGCATAAAATCGAGCACTTCTATTGTCTTTAACACTTGGTCCGCGAGAGATGTGCTTCAGACACCCCACCCACCCACTCTCCCCGCCCCCCCCCCCCCAACTGCTTTTTTTAAATACCTTCAGAACGGTTTTGAGCACGTGGGGGAAATTTCAAGAACCTGAGTATGCATCGCTTTTATGCACGTCGTAAAAATCCTAAGTTTTCGACCTTGATGGCTCATGATCTATACTTCCCTCCTTGAGGTCATGTCAGTGACATTTTACTCAAAAGCGAAAGTCGGCCCTCATTTCTCGCAGGAAATGCCCTCAAAGAGGTTTTTTAGACTCATCCTCTGTACGCCACTCTGAAACGTATTACTATCGTTCTGGCTGCCTTTGGAAGCCCAGGCCATCCAAGGTCAAGCTAGGCCAAACATTGACATTGGTAACCAGATGAAGGCTTTCGGAAATGAAGTCATTTAAACCTAAATTACAAATATTTTTCATATTTGAAGGCTCTTCTGATTCGCTTCACCTATTTGACATGGCATGACATGACATATTGCAGCCACATCTGCCGATTTCCAAAAGTGTCTATCTGGCAGAGTTTTTTTCAGCTATTCGATAGCGTAGGTTCAGGCTGCATCAGACCAACCCAGGTCAGTTCACATTCAACATTGCATGTTTTGCATTGCATTTTTTCATTGCAGCATTTCCCCATCCGATGCATTCTGAAGAGAGCTTTCCATGCCGTTTTCTGCGTGACTCTACCTCACTTATTTTTTTAGATCTTAGGGACCTCTGAGCCCTCCCCTTGTAAGGCAGTCGAAAAAGACTTTTTATAAATAGTGCAAATTGCTTGCATTCAAACTATGCAGTGGCCCATTAAGGCCAGATAGTCAAATTCCTGGCACTTTCTGTTTATTTTAGCGGCTACCACGGAGAACCCTGCATAAATTTTTGGGAGAAAACATCATGCTGCCCTATTTCTTTTCATGTTCTCACCCTCCATCTGTTAAGAAACACTAACTTTATGGAACACGGTATGACAAGGGCATGCCATATCACGTAAAAACGGAGGCGGGTGGGCAGGCCCACCGTGCGGTGTCGCACATTTTTTCAGCGCTTTACCTCCGGAGTTCCGCTCTTTGCCAGCCACGTCTTTGATCTCTCTCTCTCTCTCTCTCTCTCTCTCTCTCTCTCTCTCTCTCTCTCTCTCTCTCTCTCTCTCTCTCTCTCTCTCTCTCTCTCTCTCTCTCTCTCTCTCTCTCTCTCTCTCTCTCTCTCTCTCTCTCTCGCTCTCTCTCTCTCTCTTTGTGTGTGTTTGTTGGTGCGTGCGTGTGTGTGTGTGTTGTGTGTGTGTGGTGTGTGTGTGTGTGTGTGTGTGTGTGTGTGTGTGTGTGTGTGTGTGTGTGTGTGTGTGTGTGTGTGTGTGTGTGTGTGTGTGTGTGTTCGTGCGTGCGTGCGTGTGTACGTGTGTGTACCTGAGGTGTGTTCTGTATGCAGTGCCTTCGACGTATTCCCGTGTGATCGTTGTTACGAGTGTCCTCTCTAATATGCCTCTCCTCTAAACCTCATCGACTCCACATCCTGAATATCCATTTTATGTTGGAGATTGTTTTAAACTTCAATATATACATACATACATCGATACACTCTGTCCCAGTAGAATGGTACCGTTGCAGCAAATGCCACCAAATCTTGGCTGACACGGTTGCGTCATGGTGGATCCATGCCGCCCAGTTCGTGGTTGCATGACATTATTATGTCCGGCTGGACGACGAGCATCTTATTTTTTTGTTTCGTTTTTTCTTACTGTAACTTCTCTGCCTCCTGCTGCACGTGGGCGACGCTTGCACAGCTTGACAGCATCCTCGTGACTATATTTCCCCTAAACGAGTACGGAAGATAACTTTGCAAATGCAGTGTTCCACGGTTGTCATACAGGTATGTACTAGCCCGCGCACTCAGTCATCTTTAGTTCGGTATCGGCGTCTTGCAAAAACTATGGTTAAGATTTCATCGTTTTTCTTCGAAGCGCTGTCATGGATTTCCGAACCTCATGTTTGCTGCCGCGTGGTAGACACCACGCGCGCACGCGATGATCACAGGCACCACAGTGAAACCTAAGCTTGATTTCGGGCTGGCACCCAGATACCCCCGGGTTTCTCCTCAGCGAAAGAACGTGCTGATACCTGAGTTCGATGTGCCTTTGAAATCCCAAAGTTCAGGTGTGGGGCATGGGATACCATGCGTGCCGCCCTACTACGGTTGCCGGAGGCCGAGGACGAATACCGTATGCCGTGACTGGCCCCTCCTGCGCAGTAACGCGCGCCAGTCATTACGCCAAATGGATTGACCCAGCTCTCGCAGCTGTGAGGACAAAACAAAAACGGAGGGAATGGCATCACAGCTACGTATTCACGACGGTCGACGGGGGGCGAGGTGGCGGCGGTGTGCCAGAGATCGATAGCAGGCGGCCGTGGTCACCAGGGCAGGTCAGTCGGGCGCCGACCAGGTGCCGGCCACACGGCAGGCGGGGCGAGCACTGCACGGCACGGCACGGCCCGGCACGTGTCCGGCGTCGGTTCGGTTCCAAGCCATAAGCTACCGCAGGTAGCAGGTAGTAGGCAGCACCAACGATAGCGAGGCACCAACAAGACGTTAAGGTGAGGACAACTGTGCGTACATACGCTGTGCTTACCCCGAAATTGCCACCCCGAAACATCAATATATTTTATAATAGATACCAATGCTTGCTTATCAACACCGTTTGACTTGCAGAATATATCATGTTAGCCGTTTTTACGATGAATTAATATCCTGAAAAGCCTTTTAAAGGTTCTTGATTTTTTAACGTTTAATTACGCACTAACACTTTGGAATGGAAGAGTTTGTTTGCACGTGGTTTCATTGGCACTTAATAGCCACAACAAACTTGTTGATCTTAGAATATATTTATCACAAAAACGAGCTTTTTACAGACACTTGTGCTGATGGTGGCTTTTACACTTTAAGTGCACTTGAATTCTGGCATAATGCTAGGCATGCCAACAGCGTGAAACTTTTATTTTTGATGAGCCAATGCATAGCCTTTTTACTAACCTGTCGATCATCCCAAACTGTCTGGAAGTGGGGACGATAACCCAGTTACGGGGAATCGGGTGCATAGGATTAGGCTTATGTTATCCGGCACAGGGCAAGGGAATTATATTTAAGATAATCATGCCCTCATATATTTATGTATTTCGACGGCACCCAGGCAGGCACAGCAGTGCACACAGCACAGGAAATCAACTGTTGATCAATGTTCACCGCCGCAGCAGAAGATCCTTTAGCGCAGACGAAACAGGGGAATTGGTTCGACTGGCCGGCTGCGAAAAGGAAGATGGGTGGAGCCGTATGTGGAGTAAAAAAAAAACACACAGAATCTCCGCTATCTGATTCAAGCTCAACACGGTCTTGTTCAGAAATGTTTGCCCTAATTTGAGGGTAAAGTTGCATTTATATCAAGGCGTCGAAAACAGAACTCCGCCTTTTGACGCAGATCCAACGCCACCTTGTTGATGTATGTTATGATATTCTAGAAGTCCTAAATAAAAAGCAGGATCCTGCGCATGGGGATAAGTAACCACACCGTTTTGCCAAATGGTGTGGTTTGCCAAAGTTTCCCCGTTTCTATGAAATAAGATGATCCTGTATTGTGTAGAACTTCGAAGAGCAGCGAGATATGATCAGGGAACGAGTCGTTTAGAGAAAACGCAAGGCAATATGTACCTGTACAGTTGATGTGAGGCCGGCGAGATCGACGCTAGACTGGACGTAAAAAGAATTATGAAATCGTATCCGAGACTGCGCGCCGATGACAACTGTACCTGCCATGCCCTCTATAAAGAAAAATGTGTGAGCCCGGTATGTCGGATGAGAGACATGCTAGTATTTTTTTCTTTTAAGCGTGTATTGGTGAAATGCTAGCCCATCAGCGGTCCCAAGTCTGCGTTACCAGGCATCCAAAGCACTTTGATGTGTTTGGGGGTGTAAGTGATGTGATGATGTTCCAGATGTCGGTCATGAGTGGGTGTAATGTGTTGGGTTACATGCTGAGATCATGTAAAACGGAAAGAGAATCCCTGCAGATGATGGCTTGCTTGGTGTTGGAGAGCTTCCAATGTTAGAGTTGGAGAGCTGCAACGAGACTGGCCATCAGTTCAGCAGTTTAAACGCAGTGTGTGCATGGAAGGCAGCTCCAGTTTTATCGCCCTGCCTGGAGCCGTCTGTGTATTATAACTGGCGTAGCGGACGGCGTGGCCACATTGTGCCTGTGCGAGACTGCCCACAATAGTTAATTGTGGCACGCCTGCGCGCCACATGGTTATGTTCATGATGTTTGCATGGGCGGATTCAAGAAGGGGAGGGGGCGCAAAAGAGCCACACCCCCTCTCCAAAGGCCGCGAAACCATTACCTGCTCGCTCAAACAGCCGGACGTATGCTGTTATGTGCGTGCACCATCATGTCTCCCGCGACTAATTGCATAGGTTTTGCTGCTGTTGAGGCAGTCAGCTATGTCAACAGCCAGCACATACTCGAAGCTTACGAATTTGGTGAGCTTTACATCAATGGCTCATTGTTGGTGGATGGTTCAAGGGAGTCTTTCACATTTGTATGGGGTTTTGAGCAGAAATAGCCGTTTTGACGACCATTCATTGCAGTCCACAGCCCTTCCCTCTTTAAGACCTAAACCCATCTAGTTTCTGAACCACACATCCGCAAAAAATTGCAAATTAATTAGGAGAGACTTTCAAGACCACCCAGGCATCCGTGGCGCCATTATAACATCATTCAAATCTTGTCATTCGATTGGTCAAGCGGCAATCAAGGCCAAGGCGAACACAATTGTCGAGTCGTTTATATTTGGTGTCATATCTGACGGCCGTTATATATGGCTCCAGGTATATGGCTCTATGTATAACGGCTGTCAATGGGCCCTCAATCAATGTTGCGCAAGGTACGATGACGAGATGAAACAATACGCTTTGAGAAGCCTGTTTACTTGAAAGAGACATCGTGTCATCTAAAGCAGTCTTTTTCACTTAAAAGCATACCCATAGTTATAAGTGAGCTTATTTCAGCATATCTGATACTGGCTTCAATACTTTCAAATGTGTCACATTCTCTTGACCCCGCTATAACACTGACATTTCGAGAGGTGACTTGGCCCGCTATTTTGTCGGCTGAGTCCCTCAGTGAGCCGCTATCTTTATCATTACACCCATTCTATCCGTTACTGGTCCTGCTCCCGGCACACGGCAGTTCCACGTGCGACTTGTGACCTGAGCCCAAGGCACCACTCTGGGGTCGTGTCATATATATATATATATATATATATATATATATATATATATATATACTGAGTGTGACTGTGTGTAGGTATGAGAGCTACTTGATCTTTTAAATGTCAGCATACAAGAGCGGTATAGCCCTCCCAAAACCAAAGTCTATATCCGCCCCTGGATGCTTGGATGCTGGTAAAAATTGTAACGGCTTATGTGCATATTACTTTTTTCTGTGTTGCACCGTCTATGTCTGTATTGTTCTTATCTGGCAAAGCCAGCTGTTTTTCTGAAGCTATTCATTCTCTCAAGCCTCATTTCTTTAATATCTCGGTTGGGCCTCATGTCCTATGTTACTTAAGACGAAAGTCAAAGTGCAATAAAAGAATCACCTAGTTCGTGTGAGTGTCCACCGGCGTCTGGCATGACCTAAACTGTCCTTGTAAGCATGGTGGTATGGATGCTGCTGGGCCATCCAGATTCAGGGAGACGTCTCTGGACGAGTCTGGTAAGGGTTAGGATGATACATCCAGGCCTACGTCACTGCCTCTGAAAGAAGTTAGTACTTTAAATTCCTACTGCTTTTCTGAAACAGATGACGACCTGGATACTATCCTTTCCAGAATGTGCGCAACAAATGGATCAATTGAGGAACACTCTGAATTGTAGGCATATTTACTTAGAAAGCTGCTCAATCCCGGGATTACGCGATATCCCGGGATTGAACCTCTCAAAATATAAGGCTCACTGATCTGATGATAAAATCTGATGGATTTGGAAATAAGAAAGCGTAGGTTTGGGGATATATGCTCACTGGGAGGCAACTGGTCGAACGCAGAACATTTTCCCCTGTATTTAACAGGTTAAAAAGGACCTATACTATGGGCATCATGCCTGCACTGGCAGGGTGGAGATAGATCGTCGAGTCGAGTGCGACCGGTGTCCGAGTCCTGCCAGAATCGCATCATCCGCGGATGCGATTCTGGTTGGCTGGCCTGTAGCGGGGCGTGCCACTGCGCGGTGTCTCCTTAGCGGTACGTGCTTCATGCTGCAGGTTCTTTAGCCTTTTTGATTTTTTAATAAAAACTATTTGTTCCAAATTACCGATTGTGACAATTACAACCCTAGCTGCAGTCTGGATTGGGGCAATCAGTCATTTTTGTGCGGATGCATGCGAAACGAAGTCACATTTCCGCGACACACAACAATCTTTAATTCAGTGGGATTCATTTTCGCCGCGGCTCTTTCTGGAATGTCCTCGTCTTCGGAGCGGACGGCCAGTCATTAGCTGACCAGAAATCGTTTTCATAGAACCGGAGCGAACACCCCTGCACATTGCGTCGTGTATGACTCCAATGACTCAGCGCTCAGCCCATCCGCTGCTGGAAGTGTCCAAGTCGAGTAGCGGACGGTAGCGCTGCACCTCGGGCTGTGGCCCTTCTGGCTGGTCAGCTGGCCAAGCAATGATGCGGTGGGGCGCGGTGGCCTGTTTCGTGGCAGCGACCCTTGGCGTGCCATCCGAGACTGATGCGTGACTTGCAAGTCACGCATCAGCGTGTTAAAAAGGTCGTGTCAAGTCACTAACTGCACGTATGCAGTTGGTATGCTGGTACATGCCCTTTATCGTCTTGAGCTCTCGTCATTTCACGTGCGTGGTGCCTTGCATGACTTGGTCCCACATGACCAACTTCGCAAACATGAAATGAGGAGTAGGCAGATGGTACATGCTGACGTATCACAAAATGCCTCCGTAACAAAATGTATCGGCTTTTTTAGTAGGTATGACGGCACACAACGAGTTTTCCGTGTTCATCCCGCTTTTAGTGTAATTAAGATTAGTTGTCAAACTGGGTGCCTATTTAGCAATGTTTGTATGCAGAGGACCTGCATTATTAGTATTGCTCGCGCAGAAGACTTGAAGTGCAAATACGAATACCCACAACATAAGCCAGATCAGTCTGCTATTATGAATCGAAATACAGTGCTTTTAGCGTTACTTTGAAGCACAAATCGTTCAACACTTTGAAGTACAATTATACACCCGGTACAAAGTACGATGTACAATGAAATACACCCGGACTTTGAACTACAAACCACCTAACACCTGGGGTACCCATCTAGTCTTGAGTAATCTGCAGCATGCCAGGGGCGGCTGAACGCAGGACAACTGGTTTTGTCATAAGCCTGAGACTCAGTTGTCATCGTCATTAGAACTCGCCACCGAATGCGGGTGGGCCGGGCGTCTCATTCTCCCGCATTGTTGCCGTCCCCTTCTCCCGTCTATTTACTCTGGTCTTTTAACGCGCTTGTGGGCTACGCTGCACTGGACACGGAGCGCCGTTAATCACGCACCACAGAGCTCTGTCAGCGAGTCACCCCGTTGCTGACCATCGACCTGCCGTGCCGATCCGACGCCGCTAACCGTTGACCCGCGCCCCGGCCGATTGTGGCGCTATCGCCTCCACGTCGCGTTTCATCACCACGCTCGCGTATCGGCTCGCCTGTGCTCCAACATCACTATCTATTGATGCTGATAGCGGCGACGGCTGGGGGCCGGGGGTCAGAGGATACCAGTGACACTGGACTCCTCGAGCTGGCAGGCCCTGTATTGTGCGTTCGACGTCGCTGCCACGGGACCCGCCGCCGACGGCAGGCACGTCGCAGAGGGCTACAGCGGGCCTGTGGGGCGCAGCAAGGCATCATAAACTGGGTGAGTTCTTAAGTGCGCTATTAGGAGATATTTGATCTTCCCGGATATCTCCGTGACTCGCCACACTTTTTGGCTAATGAGGTGTCAACGCTTCACCTGGCACCACACCGTTACATGTCAGTGTGGATATATCACTAAATGTAGGCTTGAAGTAGCTTACGTTTTACCTTATTCACATAAGACACATTTTTGAGCTTATCTTTACATAGCACCCTGCCTTATTGACCCAATGTAATGCGCTTTATTAACCCAATATTCCCCTCTTGTTCATGTGCATTGGGGGAGGGGGCGGGCTCAGAACAGCACTGAGGGAGTTCAAGTCACCACTAGAGGCTTAAGAGCCCCCCCCCCCCCCCCCCCACTCCCCGAAAGTATACAAAGTGACAACCCTGAGTCTCACACCTGGAAGATCGCATCTCCCAGACTTTAACTGCTTCGCTTCTTATGCTCCATGCAGGCGACAGCGACACCGACAGGCCGGTCTTCGGTCTCTCCATAACCCCGGCCACCTCACGATGGGCACCCTCCTCGGTCATGTCCTGCCGGGCGTCGCCTTCCTGCTGACTGGTCTGTGGTGGACGTACAACATCTTCGAGCGCTACTTCCAGACGCGCCAGGCGCCTCGCCAGTTCCAGGCCAGCTTGTCCTTCCCCATTCGCAGAGGGTCTCGCGTCCCGTGGGACTGCCTCATTCTTCTCGGGCTCATGGTCGTCGGCATCATAGGTCAGTGACTGCTGAAAGCGAATGCGGGTGGATCATAAAACCGGTTGTGTTCACACCTCACAAGTCATTTTATTATTTTCTACTTTACTTAAAGCCCAGTTTGCGCCGCGGTCAGCGTAGCATGCCCGTAAGCGAAATCGAAAGCACGTCTGACACAAACGCGCTGCGGTTCGTGCTCCTGCCAGCAGTTTACGCATCGACTTTGGTGCGTCGTCAGCTCCGCACACATGGGCGTAAGCCGGCATGTCGGCGGCACGCTTGGCGTACCGCCCTTACGGCAGTTGACAACACCGTGCGCCACATGCCCCCGGGAGTATTAGTGGCTGGCTTTTAACGCTATAACTGGCGAGGCAGTCGCATTCACCATTCGCCATCGCCATTGTTCTTCGCGGGAGCCATGGCGCGGTTCTGTGGTGGCGGTCCCACTGAAAAGGGACTCGGCAAACACCAAAGAAAATAAGTTGCTCTTCGTTAGAGGGAGAACCACTGGCGACGGGTGAAGGGACGAAAATTTCACCATGTGCGACGGGCGTGTTCAATCGGTGATTTTGTGACCGTCAGGTGTGACGCACCAGGTGTGACTGTGACCGCATGGCGGGGCTGTTTCAGGCGAGATCGTCACCGGCTGGCGCGATGGTCGCCTGGTGGAGATGGGAAACGGGCAGCACGCCACCATGTACATGTGCTTCGCGCTGGCCGCTGCCGCCGAGGCGGCGCGCCGCACGGGCGTGGGGCTCGTGCCAGGCCTCGAGCATGCCGTCTGCGCCATGGCCTTCGTCGCCGAGGCGTTGCTGTTCGCATTCCACGGACACGGCACTTCCGACATGGAGATGTTGGTGAGCAAGCTCTCTGGTACCGGCAAGAAGTTATGGCCTGCAGCGCCTGAGTCAGACTGAGAGAGAACTGTGAGAGCTGCGAGTGAGACTGCTGCTGCTGCCTATAACCTTTGTTCGCACAGCTTTGATGCATGCGGTTGCTGTCGACCCGAAACTGCAGCGGTGATAGTAGCGCAGGCAGGGGAGGGCACAGGGGGCACGCCTCCCCCCTCCCCCCCCCCCCCCCCTGTCAGGTTCCGAGGGGCACTTTGGGCCTCTCGGAACCAACGGTAAATTGCTAGATTTGAAGGCCTAAAGAGCCCGAAAGGCATGCTGGAGGTCGCAATCAGGGACCCCAGCCCGCAGGGTCAGGCGACCCGATGCCAGCCAGAGAGCCCTGCGCGCTGATCAGGGACCTCCTCAGTCGATAAGGGCCTATGTGTCGGTCAGATACCACCAGCAACGCAAAGTCACCTTCATGGTGGCATGGGCGGGAGGGCCCATTTCCCAGGCAAGAACAGAGCCGGGGCCAATGACTGACATTGCTCGGGACCCCAGCGTTTGTCAGGGATCCACAGCCACTCAGTTTAGTTTATTGGCTATAAACTTAATGTAGCATTGATCTCGTGGTGGCGTCAGGCTTCTGTTCCACTTCTGAAAAAGAAGCCGGAGAGATGGAAAGATGTGTAATGTGTATATATATATATATATATATATATATATATATATATATATATGTATATATATATATATATAGGATATGAAAGTAGATTACGCCTTCATTAACAAATGACCCGTATGAAGAGATTTTTAATGCGAGCCCTGCGTTAACCCTGCGCCCCACTTGCCAAGGTCCTGGCTGCGAGCCTGGGTGGTGCCAACGGGGAAGCGGATGCGTCTCCATTGCTTTCAACAGATGGAGACCAGTCGCCCTCTACTTTGTCGAATTTTTCAGGCCACTTTTTGCATAACCTAATTGAGCAGCTGACATCCATCACTGAATCATGATGGCATGCATCATCCTCTGCGCATCACAGCAGAGGGTGCAAGATGCAAGGTACATGTTTTCGTGATAAACATAAGAACAAACATAAGAATTACTTACAATTAGGTGATCTCGTTAACATCGTACTAAACTGACTAAACGGTTGATTGATGGCTGCATCAATGGCAATATTGATGGCAGCATCGCAAGAGGTGGACTGCAAGCACGTGCACCAGAGTGCCGAGTGGAAAAGGATCTCTTCGTCTCCCGCGTGTCTTCCCTACCGTTTTCACCTAGTAGTGCTTGTTTGAGGCCCTTCCCTCGCTTGTGTATTCATATACATTGAGATATCCACACCGCACCATGCAGCGAAGGAATCGGCTCAATTCAAGACCAGCGGCGGCGAGACTCAGAGTGATCTGGTCCCATAAACCTGTAAAGTTTTTGTGATTCGTAGTTGAAGGAAGTTAATAAATTCAGTGCTACTTAGGTGAATCAAGTACGCATCATCGTAGACGATCATGGTAGTGCAAGCAAAAAGCAACAGCCTCGCTTCTTCATTGTGGTCGCAATGTTGGAATTAGCATGCCAACAATTTTAAATGATATGCAGCCCTCACAATCGACATGAAATGGGGCCTAGCTCGTCCCTTATGTCTATTGTGACTTTTAAACTGGAATTTGGAAGTCATCCTTATGTTCTCAAATCAGCTTTACTTATGGGTTGCGTGACTGTGCCTCCCGGTCTTTTGCAAGTTCCAAAGGAATGCCCTTGCTAACACAGCGCATTCACTGACACAGACCGGCAACATGTGAACATTATGGTCAAACGAGGAAAGTCCATCAAAACGTCAGGTGCAACGCACTTCCAAAACGGCATGATATTGCTGTTTCGTAAATGCATCATGCGCCAAAATTGGAATGGAATGATGTTTCCGTTATCCCAGTAATCTATTCCAGCGCTCAGCAGCTTTTCAGTAGGTCAGTGGTGGCAACATGCAGAAGAATCCAACCGAGGCCATTACGATACATAACCGATCAACTGCCCGACTGCGCGTCCCCTGTGCCCCATCCATGCGTCTGTAGTTCTTGGTGCGCACACATTCTACCATATCCTGAATCATTTTTTGGTGCTCACGATACAAAAGGAGTGAGGAGCAAGCACCGCTTTGATGTTGCTCAGCACAGTGTTCCGTTACGCATAACGCAGTGCATACTGCAGAGCGTACGTTCATTTCGTACGGCGTTATTTCATCATATGTTCTTCGTCACCGGCGCTTCACAAGGCCTTCAGCTGCTAAGGCTGTATGGTGTCGCCTGCCCCCTTCCCCCCCCCCCCTCCCTGGTTGGAAGGGTGGGCACTGGTGATGGCGATGTGGCGATCATCGTATGTTATATCTTCACTGAGTACACGACGTCCGTCGTGTATATAAATCACACACACAATCACATCATACCGGAAAGAGGCGCGATTATAGTGTCAGGAGCAGTTAGCCTTGCTGCACGGTCCTGATCATCACACGTGGGCACGGCAAATATTTGCTAGGCCGGAATACGCCGCGTCATTGTGCCATGGCAGAATGAGTCAACACTAGACTCACAGGTGGCAAGACGCCGTGACCACGAGTCTCAGGTCCACTATAGATGATGGTGCTCCCTCTGACAGTTCGCTACAGGCTAGAGTGCGATCTGGACCGCAGCGTACCGTGCGCGTTTTGTCAAAAGTGTGGCGTTTTGCCGTTTGGTGCGCATCGTTACGCCTACATATTCCGATAATGGTGGAATGTAAGCCTTCCTTTCACCGGAGGCTTCATCGAAACTGCACTCTTCGGTAACTTTCCACGTCCGCAAGGCCATAATCGTCACCGGCGCCTGGCCGGCGTCGGGAGCTCGCGGTGACGTCGGGTCGCTGTGGCCAGGTGCACCACCTGCTGCTGTACGTGGTGCTGGGCAGCGCGGCCGCCACGCTGGCCGAGCTGACCTGCCGGCGCAGCGTACTGCCGGCGCTGGCGCGCTGCTTCTTCACCCTGCTGCAGGGTACCTGGTTCATCCAGGTGGGGTTCATTCTGTTCCCACCGGCCGGCTGGCACGGCTGGGACGTCAACAGTTACAGACAGGTGAGCCCGCTACGGCACCGAGAGGCCTCGGAGGCGCGGCGCTGTCGCTCCCCCCCCCCCCCCCCCGGGAGCCGCGGACGCTACTGTCGAAAAATACACTACGGCGGGCGAAAATGACGTGTGTCACGATCACTCCCATGGCCATAAATGTTGATGTTTAGGAGCTTACTTTGTTGTGTTTTAAAGTTTATCGATCGATTGCTTAGGCTACTCAAAGCCACGTCTAAAAGCCTGGATTTTCTAGAACGACACAATACCTATGTTTTGTCTTTTGCATAGCTGTGCGCGTGCGCGTGTGTGTGTGTATGTTTGTATTATGACCCGTGATTAGTCTACCAAATCTGGTCCGGGAACGCCTGCTGGTTTCATCCGCCCTTCACATACTTCATGTAACATCTTTTTTTTGCAGCAAAAGCTGGCAACCGCAGCATTTGTTTGGCATTGGACCGGTGTGCTTGTTGCCATGGCGACCATCGGCACGCTGCTTCGATTGCGGACTCGCACCGGCGCCCCGGTGCGTATGGCCAGAGAGAGCGATGGACGCGGCACTCGGCCCGACTCGACCAAGCTGCTACTCTCGTCCGAGGACGAGCTGTGAGCCGGCCGGACACGCCTCGACCACCGGACTAGCTCGGCCGGATATGCCTTGTCCACCGGGCTGACTCGGCCAGACATGCCTCGGCCACCAAGCTGACTCGGCCAGACATGCCTCGGACACCAAGCTGACTCCGCCAGACATGCTTCGTCCACCGGGCTGGCTCGGCCAGACATGCCTCGGCCACCAAGCTGACTCGGCCGGACATGCCTCGGCCACCGGGCTGGCTCGGACAGACATGCTTTGTCCATCGGGCTGACTCGGCCAGACATGCCTCGGCCACCGAGCTGACTCAGCCGGACATGCCTGGGCCACCGGGCTGACTCGGCCGGACACAGCACCGACGCAGAGCAACAGTGAACGACATCCACTCACGGGGCGGACGAAGACGGCTGCTAAACGCTGCAGCACAGGACGAACGAGGCTCACGACTCACTTGACCTGCTTTCAAATAGACTCGCCTCGAAAATTCACAGGCTGAGCTCAGTGGTTACGCAGTAGCCACAGGGACAAGGCAGACATCTCGCTGTTCATCAGAAACTGTTCCGGTCTGCCTCTGCGGCAAATGCAACAGCGCTGCATTGTACAGCAATACTGTGTTGAAGGTCACCTGGACATCAAACGGCGGGGATCGCAGCTGTATAGGGCTGTGTAACCGACAGTGCTGGGACGCCCGGCTGTCCCAGGCGGCCGCGGCATGCACACCAGGTGGCCGGGTTAAAGCGAGTCAGTTTTGTTAGCCTGCACCGACCGAGGGGACCCAGGGGTCCACGCTTACACGTTTTGAGGTCGCCAGAGTCGTACGCCTTGTGAGACACGGTCGGCGTTGAGCTTGTTTTCTGTGTCTTCAGCTGAAAATGTTCAATAGCGTTGTAATGATCACGCGTTTGAAAGCCTTCGCATTTTTGTAAACGTTTGTTGATTGTCGTTGACAAGCAGGTGACATCCTGTTGATTTCTGTCCGCTGATGGCGCCCGCTCTGTCGGCCGTGCGCGCTCTCAGACCACACGTGCGTCATCTCGTCTCTCGAATGCCGCGGTAAGCACATACGCTTGCATTAAAAGGGCTGTCACGGGCGCCGTCGTTTCTATGCATGAGGCGTCGTGTGCACCTGACCGAACATCCGTGGTGCGGAGCTCCGGGGTCTGGCCGCACCCCTCCTGCTCGGACGGGCGCCAGCTCAGACGTAATGGGGTAGAAATGCGGGCGCTCCCAGCGCACCTGTACAGGTGCATCACTTTGTATACTTTGGGGGTGGGGGTGGGGTGGGGGTGGGTGGTTGGGGGTGGGGGAAGCCGCTTCCTCCAATGCTGAGTTATGCCCCCTCAACGCTCTTGAACGCCTCCAAATGCATATGAGTAAAATGGGAATATTAAACCGATGCAATTGCAACAAATGCCTCGGAACTGCGGGTACACTAGGTACCTAAGCATATTCACATACACTAGGTACTATACATATTATTAATATCGGTCTAACTTTGTACCAAATAACATTCTGTAGGCACATTGTGTTTTTTATCATGTCGATTCCCCCGTATGTTAGGTCTGTCTGCAAACATTGGCAGCATTGTCATGAGATAACACAGTGGATCAGGACAAGAATGGGGTGCAATCTGCAGCAACTTGTTAAAATGCGCTCGGGTCGGGGTCAATGTGGCCCCAAGGTTTTTCCAGAACGATTTCCTAACGGCGCCAGACTTTACACAGCAGTGGAGAATTAAACAGCGGATCTGTTTATGTTCAAAAAGATGTACCTTGTAAGGTTATCAATCGATGGCAGGTCAAAGTCAGGCCGTGTCTGTCAGCGAAGAGTATTCCTGGGGAATAATTCATTGTGATGCGACAGCGGAGCGTAGACGAAATGATATGCATCTGGGATAGTTTCTCAGGCAATAAGCCAATTAAATTTGGAATCACAACAAATGTCATGGACCTACGCTGTGAATGTCAGACCGAGGTCAAAACTAACCTGCTTTTTATTTGAGTGCTTGATCCATGGCGTAGTTTCTGGTGCTCAATTTGAGTTTACTTATGCCAGGGACTGCAACAAACATGTTCCATGGACATTTTAAAGGTCAGAGTATGCCGCTGACCTAAAACGACCCAGGTCAACACTTCGTTTTTAGGAACATCCCACTTGGCGTAATCCCTCACGCTTATCTGAATGGGGCACTAGGAGGAATCTCGTAGGTGTTTGGTCACCTTGATTTTATAAAGGTCGAGCTAGGTGACTGATCTTAATTTGACACCATCGACCTTCTGCTTAGAAGAAATATCTAGCTTTACGACGAGGCCATGACCCAGGAAACTCAAAATTGGACACAAGTGATCCTACATACAAGTTGACCCATCCTACGAATTTGATGTCTCCAGCTATCTTACTTTCTCAGATCTCAGGAGGGGGTCAAATTGACCCCCACCCGAACGAAGGGTATTCAACCGGCCACCCGGGCATGAGTTAAAGTACAAGGTGGCCCAGATAAAAGTTGACTGACGTTTCCCTCAACAACGACAAGTGACTTTGTCGCAAAATCGTGACTGTGATGGTATCTGAGTATCAATATCATGCCAACACACGAGCAGCGACATTAGTAGTCACATGGTCCACATTCGTCAAAACGTCCTACAAAAGATGATCCCGACGGCCCGTTGGCGTTTCAGGATACGTAACAGCTGTACCTGCCTCAGGTGGCCGGTTATCCTGTCGGTGTTGCCAGCAGTGATGGGTCCTGTCTCAAGTCTGAATGCGGCCTTGAGCTCTTTAGTGTTCGCTGGTTTGTCCACGCGGACGTAGTTCTGTAAGATATTACAACACAGCACGAAGTTCAGTTGGGACAGTTTGGCCGAGTGCGAAGGCACTCCACGGCCGTCTTAAGCTGATAAGCATGTCAGGGAAATGTTCTTTCTCACAATCCAGCGAAGCTCGTGGCATGTGTGCTGTCTGCCCGTCCTGCTGGAGCCCCTCCTCGTCATGATGATGCCCACGAGGTCGTCCCAGGGCTGCCTGGGAGGACGTCAGAGAGGTGGCCATGTAGCGCTCTGAGGTGGTGACAGGATCCTCGCTCTCGTTCTCAAAGCATCTTCTGTACCCTAATGATTTGACGAATCCAAGATCACTGATTTGTGTATCACAGTTTGCCAATAAAGGGACATTCGAATGTCCCCGCAGTCTCAGTTGTACGAGAGATGCACTTCTCACTGTCGAGCAAAGCATGGGTTGGCTTTTTTATTGGTCACCCTGTAAATCGCAGTTTCAAAACGAGAAGGTATGTTTTTCATCTTCCTTCGTTTTCTTTGCAAACCTGACGCTGCTGTCTCGTCGATCCCATCTCTTACGTCACAATCGGGTGACGCTCCCCACTGTTCCGGGCATCCGTTCGCATGGAAAAAAGACATATTTTAACACTGTTACGGTCACACGCACGACTGGAGATCACGGAAACTCAGGGCTATCCCTCCACACTTGTGAGGATTTATTTGCTTGATTTGGGGATTGGTGATTTGTTCAAATTTAGTCTGAATCGTTTGATGTAATGCATTTCTGGGGTGAGCGCCCGCAGTAAGCGTAGTTTGTTGCGTGACCCCTGACCCCACCATCCGATCGTAAAATTTTAGGTCAACGGCAGAATTCCGCAGCGAGAGCTTAAAGTGCTACAATGCTAGGCATGGTCCATGCTGCCTGTGACGTCACCTCACTGTCAGTACGGCCGCTGCCGCCGACCGAAGGCCACTCCAATCAGAGACAAACAGGGAGCGCACGAAACGGCTCGAACCCACCCCGCCACTGGTGAGTGAACCGGAAGGCAGACAATAACTAACTGGGTTATCGGGACGAGGTGTAGCACATTTCGGGTCAGGACGGCCCAAAATACAGTTCGGCATTGTAGTTTCCCCTGGTTGTCCCACAAAAAATTACGTCGAGGAATCATCAAATTTTGTACAGTGCGCTCCAGAGGCAAAGACATATTGGGTTGGTTTTGATGGATTTTCTGAAAACATCTGGCCATGACCACAGCAATGGATTCTAGAAAGGCCTTCATCCCTGGTTCTCGGCATTTGAGTTTACAAATATTATGTTGAGTTAACGACCTCCAATATGCCAAGAGGCACTAGTCAAAACACGTAATGTTAAACAACAATTTTATGGAGTACCGTCGATATAATCGTTGTTTAGTACTACAGCTTGTTTAACCAGTACCTCACGGTATATCGAAGGACGTTAACTCAACGTAAGACCTTTGATCTCATCATGGGCACGGCTTTCAAACATCGGGCTTTCTTGAAACATTATGAAATTTAAATTGACAGTTTGATTGGCATTTTATTGGAAATTGGCAAAAATTGAAACGGCATGAAACATGGGTTTTCTTGAAACATGAAACATGCCAACTCATAAAGCTGAAATACCGAGTGTTCAAGGCCTTCTTGCTCATACAACTTCTGACACGCGTTAAAGCGTTGGCCACACTACTTTTCAAAACCACTCTGATGGCCGTACAATCACCAACTTTTACTTTTTAATGTGTCCTTCCAATTATCTGTATGTCCGCTGAGAAGGTCATGCGGTTCAATTTCGCTCTACATTGGCACATTCTGGCAGTCCACACGGTTTTCATAGACCCTCGTCTTTACATTTCAGGTGACGCCATTCTGCATAATGTCGTCTTGCACCTCGCGTCACTTTGAGGGACGAAAAACGGCACCTACTTTTGTCGATCACAGCTGGTCGATTTATAAAGCTTTTGGTCTTTGAATTACACCCCATTCTAAGCTTTTAATAAAAATTTAGCTCCGCGTAGGCTTCGAATGGAAAGTAATTCCTCAGTATCGCATTCCTGTTTTTGGAATCTACCAAATACTAAACATTTTATTTTGACGTCAGGGACAAAAATCTAAGTGGCCGAAGTCCGTACAGAAATCAGGACTTTGAGTAGGCAGGTAGGTCAGCTTTATCGGCTCAGCCCCAACCAGTTTTACCCGCTGAGACCCCTGTGCCTACACCTTTATCACATGCAAGTTTGCAGCTGGCTCCAACCCTTTCCGGCGTCAGAATTACTGTTCACCACAGCAATAGTACACCAATACCTTGTGTTGCATCTCTTCTCAGTTCTGTTTGGTAGACTTGATCAAGCGCCCTATCATTTTCTCTCCCACAAAGTCCTATAAAATGACACCCATATCGACTAACTACGTCTCACCTGTCGCTTTTGCCCAAAATGAGGTCACGACTGATACGTGACCTGCATAACCTTTCACATTCTTCGACCTGTCACCAACGTATGTGTTCGGCGACAATCTTTCATACGAAACCCATATCGTAGATATTCACTCAAACGCACCAAACATACATACAGGCATACACCATGTCCTCAATGCTGACCTTGATGACACGTCACAGTGACCTCAGTGACCTCGATGACTCACTAGTGATCTCGGGGCTGATCTCGATGACATATTACAGAATGACCTCAGCGTTGACCTCGAAGACGCGTCACAGAGTCGGAGTTGTCGGAGTCCGAGTCAGAGAAAAAATGGATATGACCATTTAGGCAATGCGCAGAGCATCCTCCCGATAAAACTTCAACATAGGATAATCTCAAAAGATCATGTAAGTAAGAAAGGTGATGGAGCCACGTGGCAAAAGATGACCAGAAGTACTCATTTCTATTTTTAATGGATGCAGCAAATTATCGTTTCAAATAATGCTCACGCTTGACCATATATATTGCCAAGAAATATGGCCCGGCTCAACCTTCCGCATGAGCTTGAAAATTCCGTGGCGTTCATATCATGACCTATGTAACCAAAAATCCCATAAAACCACAGTGCTTATTTATTATATATATATACACACACACACACACACACACACACACACACATATATATATATATATATATATATATATATATATATATATATACACGATGCATAGGTATAGGTACGTATGCCAACGTTCCTCCAAATCGGAGAGGTAACGGTGAACAATAATTTTGGTTCAGCTTTGATGGTTTGTCCCGCAAATTGCCTCGTCGCCGAAGGCGGCCCTATCACCTCAATGTTGTCTCGGCACACAATATTGCAAAAAATGGTCAGAAATGGCAAATGACCGCACCATGATCACACCTGTAGCTACCTCTGCTGTGGTGTCATGGCAGACAGCTTGGTCGCCTCTCACCACTGCCAACGCAGCCAGCCAGTACAAAGAGGTGTGCCAGGTGCCACTGGTGTATGACGTCACTATTCCCACTGAGGCAGCTTTCTGGCAGCACCTGTTGAATACAGAAGAGCAGCCAGCCGGAATTGACGCCACAGGTAACTACGTGCAATGATGAGTTAAGGCATCCTGCGTCGAACAGCTTCGATGCTTAGACTACAGTTGTCCGTTTGCGACATAACTACCTGCCACGTCACTGGCTGCTCCCCAAGGAAGGACTTGGCTAGCGAGCAGCTCAATTCAGAGCAAATCAACCCTCCAAGAACAAATATGTAACTAAAAAATGCCACGGATTAATAATTTCGTCACTCCCATTGCTGCTGCGATGTAGCTAAACCATTTTCGGAGTCCTCGCGGCATGCTAAGGAGGGGCTCATAAATGCGAACGTAAAACATACGCTACAACAAAATGAAATTTAACGCCACATACTATGGCTTCGGCCGAGGTTCGACGAGACTGGCCGCGCTTGCTTACGTAGCGACCGGTTCAAGACGATAGCCACCACCCGGCCAAAGGCGATCGGTGGTATGCCACGCGCGCATGGCTAGCGCGGCCAGTGGTACGTCACGCGCGCATGGCTGGTGCGACCGGTGGTCACGTGCATGTGACCGGCGCGGCCGGTGGTATGTCATGTGAACGTGGCTGGTGCAGCCAGTATGTCACGCGCACATGGTTGATGCGGCAGGCGGTATGTCATGCGCGCGTGGCTAGCGCGGCCGGTGTTTGTACGCTGATCGAGCATAGACTGGTCGACTCACCCGACTCGGCCCCGACGCCGCCAGAACTCGGTGAAAACAGGGTGCTCTGACAGGGCCCGAAGCCGAGCGCGGACTTAACCCATTTACCCTGCGGACGCGGCAAGGATATCGCACCTCCCACAGACGTAGCTGATTTTACGTAAAGAGTTACGGCGAGTTTCCAGGGAAGCCATTATCTTTATCTTTCTATGTTGCCATCGTCTCCTTTGACTTCACTCGTGTGAACTTGTTAAAATGGTCAGCTAAAAGACCTTGTGAAAACAGGCCACCAAATTTTCGCGGCATCTTCATGTACATATATTTCCGCAATCCATTGCCAGCAAAATATCTGCTTACCAATCCCCGAACAGATGCTTGTACAGGCTACTAACAGAACAACGACATGTCATACTGACACGTCACTCCTAAAACTAGTCTTATCCTGCAGTACAGTTTTCACGCCCAATCGCCAGATTCCAAAATGAGAGCACCGAGCTAAAGTAGGTCTCCGCGCCGCGCTGCACAGCATTTAAGGAATATACACACCCAAACGATACATAACGCAACGGGCTGATACGCTTGGAGCACGCTCCAATGAAAACACACAACTAACTACAGAAAGCACACGAAAGACGCTTCATGCGACGAAACGTAAAGATGGCCCGACACACTGTACAAAATCGCCCCCGGGAGCGGCAGCCAGCATCCGAGGGCGGGCCGCGCCGGGCCGTGCCGGCCGGAGGCGGAGGCGGGGTCGCGTCCGTCACAGCGGTCGCACTGGCCCGCCGGCGGCGTCGGCCCGCTCCCTGGCGAGGCGCGCCGGTCACAGCCGTGCAGTAGCCCACATCACAGCCAGCCGGTGCCGTCACGCGGCGCATCCCCGGCGCCGTCGCCGCTGCCGGCCGCAGGGGTGCAGACCGGCGCGCGGCGGCCATCGTGCGCCCACAGCCACACCATTCGCGATCTCGAGGGAACCCTGCAGAACCCTGAGACGGCGCGTACCGGAGTCGGATGCAGCGGCAGGCCCACGGGGAGCATCAGTCCAGGAAGAAACCGATGTCGTACTCGTCCTCGTCCTCGTCCAGCTCGACGTCCAGAGGTTCGTTCTCCACGCCGGCGAACAGGTTGTTGAAGCATGGCGTGCCCGGCACGTTAAAGTGCGTGTATGGGTTTTCGCGTGGCAGCTTGGCGTTGCACAACCAGCAGAAGAGCGTGCCGCACTTGGTGCACGACATCTTGTTGCAGCCGTCGATTTTCTGCCGCCAGGGACCGGCGTCAGCGGTGGCACACGCCACAACTTGGTAGCGCTCGAGCAGGTGGGGGGGGGGGGGGGGGGGGGAGGTGCGGTGGGGAGGTTACGGAATTCCTCGGCCGTATGGTGTGACTCGCGTCATTACGACATTGGTCCGCACAACGGGCGGCGACCTCGGCTGGGCGTGCCACGGCGCGGCCTCGGCCGGTGTGTCGCGGGGGGGGGGAGGGGGGAAGACTGACACGACGGGATTGGATTATATCGCCACCCGCCGCCCGCGGAAAACACCACGCAATGAACTGTGTCGTGACGCACGTTTTGTAAAGTCCCACACGTCCCAGTATCACACGTTTCTCGTAGTTCCTGACCATTAACGAATTATCTGCTGCTCCCATTAATATGAACATGACATCACCCGCGACCTGGACAGCATTACATGACCTTCCGACCTCACAATAAAGAGATGCCGATTGCACTCTGACAAAAGAAACGACGGGTTGGCTTCCGGGCAAAGTAAGCACGGCACCTTCAGACACGATGGCACCATGTTTTTTGTCACCATTGTATCAAACAGCCGCGCCAGTTTGGTGAAAAACATGGCTATTATTCTGCCACTTTAACCTATGACTTAACCAAAGACTAGCTGCTGCTCGTCCGATCGGTACTGGGGATACCAGAGTCCCATCGAACTCGGTGTGTGACCTCCGAGAGGGGCGGGCCATGGTGGCCTCCGATCCTGGCTAGGCGGGGCAGCACGCGGCGCTGGCGGAGTGATGTCTCACCTCGATGGGCGTGCGACAGCGCGGACAGCGCTCGCTGTTGTCCGACATCCAGCTCATGGACTCCACCTCCTCCACCAGCCGCTGCAGCTGGCGCCGGCCGAACCTGCGCTCCAGCACGGAGCGGTCGGCGCTGGACGCCGCCTGGTACTGCCGCACCAGCTCCATCCGTTCGCCTGGAGCGCGGCGTGGGCACGGTCAGCACGGCTGCGCTGTCCTTGACAGGAGGACGCACACTTCCAGCTCCACTCGCCCGCCCTGCCGTCACCGTAGCAAGCGGCCTCCACATACACCGCGCACGCGCCTCACTGCAGGACTGTAGCCGTCCCTGGGGGCTACTCCCATGCGGTCAGCGCCCGCCGATGCTTCCGCACGGCACGGTGACGGAACGGGGCCGGAGCGCCGCTGACGGAGCCCGCAGCGGCGCTGGCGGCACTGTGACGGAGCGGGGCCGGACCGGTCGCCACCGGAGCCGGCAGCGGAGCTGGCACTCACCGCTCTTGATCGAGCACGGGTTGGTGCCGTGCGAGGCGTTCTGGCAGATGGCGCAGAACACGTGGTGGCAGTGGGCGCAGCGTCCCAGGTTGTCCTCGGCGTCGAGCATCACCGGCTTCTACGGATGACGGGTCATGGTCAGTCAGGCCGGTCCCGCAGCAGTGCCCCAGCGCTTGCAGCACGCAACCAGGCACTACCCAACGACAGTCACCGCTACACATGGACCCAGTCGCGTCTGCGGCACTGGCAGTTCTGATACCAGACAAACGTCAACACGCGCTCAGGTGGGGTGGGCCAAATTGACCCCCGAAGGTTTTTTCAGAATGGTTTCCGAACGGCGCGGCGTAGCCGAGCCAAATTTTGCATAGCTGTAGGCTATTGAACAGCGAATCGTTTGGTATAAAAAATTAGATGCACCTTGTAATGTCACTGACCTATGGCAGGTCAAAGTCAGGCCGTGGTTTCAACGAAGTCAATTTCTAGGGAATCGTTCAATCTGATGCAACAACGGAGTGTTAGACGAAGCCATATACCTCTGGGATGCTTTCTCAGGCAACACAAGTACTGGATGAGCAAATTACGTTAACCTAAGGTCAGTTATGAAGGTCAGAACAAGGTCAAAACCATCCTGTTTTATTACTCTTGGGCTTGTTGTACGGGATAGTTTCCGGTGCTCATTTAGAATTTATTGACAGCAGGAACCGCATAATACATCTTCCACAGACTTTTTAGCGGTCATAATAGGTAATTAACCCAAAATGACCCGGGTCAACATTTTGTTTTCCGGAGTATACTGCATAGCGTAATCTTTGTCGCTCATTCAAGTGCAAAACTCGGAGCAGTCTTGCGTTATTTCGGTCGCCATGACCTTCAAAAGGTCAAACAAGGTCAATGACCTTACATGAGCATGTTGCCTTTTGCTTGGAAAGAGTGATCTGGGTTCTGGGGGCACTTTGGAGACCAACCTGGAATTTGATCTTTTTGACCTTATTTGACCCGGAAGTCATGACCTAGGAACATAAAAATTTGGCCCATGTGAGTTCACGTACAGGTCAACACAACCTGTAAATTTGGTGTCTCTAGCTCTCTAAGTTCCCGAGATCTCAAGGAGGAGTCAAATTGCCCCCCCCCCCCCCCCCTCCCACCCGAGCGAAAAGCATCCAGCCAGCCACCCGGACGCCTGTTAAAAATGCACGAGTTTGATGAATTCGAGCTTGATTGAAGCAGATATTAAGCTGTTAAGCTATTAAGTTCAACAATTACTTCGTTAACACTTGCATCCAAATTCCTCGTTTCTTGTATTATATCATGCTGTGCAAGTGAATTTGAGATTGAGAGCTATTGAGAACATTGGTCGCATGTGTTGGATGAGCGGGAACGTAATTTAGTTGGCTTTCAACCATACAAACAATTTGATGCTAAGGACCTTGAGCTCCTGGGCTAACAATACTATTCAATGACTTTGTAATTTCCAGTTTATTTGTAAGACATTAGTATTCACAAAAATTGAACAGCTAGGATTAGCAGCTCTACCCTTTACAGCTCTACCCTATGAAGCACTTTCCACATTTCCTTTAAGTTTATATTATTGACATCGGTGATTCTGAACATGATCCTACTTTTAAGCCAACTTCCATGTGCGTTATATGTCACATAATATTGTCCCATGTTTTGACTTGTTGGATTTTCCCCACCAACCCTGTCCTGTGTTAATAGATGCCAGAACTGCCGGCCATTACAAGCATTTTTCACTTTGAAGCTATATTGATCAATCCGAGAATGATACGCATTTATAAATGTCGTACGAGCCATTGCTGGGTCTCGGAGGTCTAAGTAGAGATGCAGCTGTTCAACAAGGTCAGTGGATACATTTCCATTGTTTCTATGAAATCTAGCATGCCAAACCTATTCCTAACACGCATTTAGCTGCAGATCACAAACGGGAAGTGACCAGCTAAGCCCTCGGACAACACGCTAGGGCACAATGCAGCAACAGGGGGCCCGCACAGCAGTACATTCCTCGGAGGTGGTACACCATTCGGTTTTGTAATAAGTAGAGCATATTTCTTTTCATGGGCCGCCGTGAGCGTCATAGGGGTTTTACGACGCATTCAACTGCTGAAGCTATGCGGCGCCGCCCGCCTCTCACCCTGGCAGACTGGTAGGCGCCGCGGGAAATCCAGCCCCGTCCATGTGCATATTTGTGCCTTGCGAACGACGTCAGTATGAAGTGACACGCTATCCAGTTTTTGGACTGTCATAGTATTACCGCTGTCATAATCATTCCACTTAGTCCGCAAACTGTCGAGTCTGCGGTCGCACAAGAGCACGTATGTGAGGAAGTGTCGCTTTACTGGGACATCGCGCCGGCAGTATCTCAGTCCAGTTTTTAGCGGGGAGGTCGGTGTTGCTGTTTGTTTTCTTTGCTGACGATTATTGGAGCGCTTAGGATTTGGACAATAAAGGAGGTGCAGTTGCTATCCAATGAGCGGTTTAAGCCGATACGGGCGAACCGCCCTGTCACGGAAGACCCTAATTAGCTAGTGGTTAGTCACTTCTTGCGGAATCTTTCAGGCTGATTCGACAACGGAGTGTAAGACGATGTGATGCAACTTTGAGATGGCTTCTCAGACCATGAAACAACTGAAATTAGGATAACAATTAGCCTTCGGTCAGATATGAGTGTCAGACCAGGGTAAAACATTTTTTACTGGAAAACTTGCTATAAGAAGTGTTGTATGACGCTATTTAGAACTCCATCCAAAATACGTCAACAAGCTTCTGAAATGAGCTTCGTGACGGTCAGGGGAGGCCATTGACCTAAAATAGCCTCGACCTAAACCTGACCTAAAATAGCCCCGACCAATCCCTTGCTGTGAGGAGCATGCCTCCTAGGTCATAACTTAAATGGAATAGCATTATCCATGCTGGTGAGTGGTGGGATACGTGGCGCAACGGACCCCTCGGCTGTTTCACCTGATATTTCACGATCGGATGGTGAGGGCAGGCTCACGCAACAAGCTTTGCCTGCCGTGGGTCCGACCCTATAAATTCGCCTGACGCAAGTGTCAAGGCTAATTATTAAACCAGTGATGCGCTGTTAGCTGTGAAAGCCTGCCCCCAAAAAGAGCGTGATTGCAACAGTTAGTCCTGGATGGGATTGAACAGGAAGAAGGCCATCTTTTGGGGGACAAGTATATCATGAAGAGATCTAATGCCTGCCAGTTACCAGGAGAAAAAATCAAATCACAGTGCATGGAGCAAACGAAGGCCAACAGCGCATACCTCAGCAGATCCCGTACAGCCGCCGTCGGCAACACCGTACTGCGCTGCGGGTTGGCAGGAGACGGGTCGACCGACGGTGCTGCCACCTACCCGAGCGCCGGCGGAGCATACCTGGCAGTGCTGGCGCGGACAGCTGACCACGTCGGGCATCGAGCTGAGGCTGGTGTTGAGGAGCATGGTGTCGTAGCGCTCGAACAGGTCCGAGCCGACCAGCTCCCGCACCTGGGCAGCACGCCTGCCGTCAGCAGAGCCCCGCGCGGG